GGATTCACAAGATCGAGCTGATGGATGAGTTCGAAGAGCTGGCTCCCCAGAACCGCACTCGGAGCATAAGCCGCGAGGCTGAGCTTCTGCAGTCTCTAGGCGTGGTGTCGGGTCGCTTGCGATGTTTCAGTTCTGTGGCCTATGGCAGGACGATGCAGAAGATCATCCGAAACATGTTGATCTTCAGTCTGTCTAGCTCGAAGTCACCGAAGTCTGTACCCAACACGGCAGTCAGCCTTGAAATTGGACATCGCTACAGGATTCTCAAGAGCGTGTCGGGCCACCTCTCGTCTGTACATGAGCAATTTCATCCCCACGTGGCTGCTGACATGGGTTGACGATCACCTGACTTGCAGAGGTGGCACCTGATCCAGGGGAGATCCTGGCTGGTTTTGTGCAAAGCCACAGGTAGAATCAGGGGCAGAAATGTAGTGCCATGCTCGTTGTGTAATTCACGCCTGTCAGACTGAGCATGGAACTTGCTTCGGAGCAACCAGTGCGACTGCAGCGACGAGTCTCTCAAAGTCACTCCGACCCCCGTGACCTCACCATCTGCCAATTACGACAATGGCTGCTCCACAACCGCAGGCTGGTGCTCAAGAGGGTTAGGCTTTTCGAGTTACAGAGCACTTCGAGGGACTAAACATTCCGGGCCTCACTGAAATTGCGAAGTAGTTCCTGCGGTCATCAGGTGATGGAGGAGGCCGCATCGGCATTGCACCTGCATCTTGCCTTGAAGCATGTTTGCGCGATATGTCACAGGGCTAGCCACGTGTCCAAGTTCACTGAAGTACTGCAAACGGATTCATGATCCAGTCAAGCAAGCTTCCCATCCACTGTCGAGATGGAACCGCGCACATGCCGCTTGCAATCTCAGGATGGTTGACGAGGAGATTCCTCCAATGCAGGTGGCAATGGTGCCTTAGCAGTCCAAACAGTCCAGAGCTGAGCCAGAGCAACTGGCTTTTGAAGCCCAGGTGGCAGACCCAAGCCATGGCGCGCTGAGCGCGCTGAACCCCAAGTACGAGTCGCTGGGCGAAGGCTCAGCACCGGTCCATCGCCACTGGCCTGCAGAAGCGCTGCAGTTCCGATTGGGGCCGATGGCCCGACACCGAGTGCCGAGGCGACTCTATGTTCTCCCAGCTCTTCTGCGTCACTTTCAGCATCGGGGACTTGGCTGGGCAGGTCAGCTGAATGCATCAAGAAGTATGTCCTTCTGGCCGGGCCCCGGGCCGGGGCCGTCTTGCTCGTCTCACTGAGGTCATGATTGGTGAAGAGACGACATTCTGCTGCATCAGCAGTAAGGCCGCGCCACCTCCAAGTCGAGTCAGGGTATGAGTCCTGCACGCAAGCAAAGCCCTGCAGCAAGCCCGGCTTGATCTGAACGAAGCTGACTTCACAACTGACGAAAGTGGCTTTCCGAAGACCCCAGGGCAACATTCAAGAATCCGGCCTTTGCACCAGACAAGCGCTACATGGCAGGCATTCTGCGGCTTCGGAGGACCATCGAGCTGCCCTGCGGCTAACTGCTCCTGTGAAATGCCCTTGCCTCACAGAAGTCCAACTCGGGGCTCCTGAGTCATCCCTGCAGAATGCGAGGGGTCGGCCGGATTCATCACCTGTTGACATGCGTTTCACGCTGTTACTGACTAGCTCCATCATCATCGTCATCATGGCTTCCAAAGCCAGATATGCGGGTGGAAATGGACGGACTCGGATTGTCCTCTCGCAACAGGCCGCTTTCTCTAGGCAACCTTTCCACCGGGCAACCCTCCACCGACCAGAGGGCCTGAACTGCTCAGGGACTTGGGAAGTCAACGCCAAAGGGGGAAGGGGAGCAAGAATAATCTTCACGATGCCATCAACTTGAAAAAAAGAAGCCTCTCACATCCGGATCGCTGGCATGCCCCCAACACCCAGCGCCAAGATGTGGTTAAAAACGCAAGCCCAATCGACAATCCGTAGCACACCCAGGTTCAAGCCTGAGCTTCTTTGCAGCGGATCTGGCAAGGCGGGGAAAGTTGAACTAATTCCTTGAAGCAGAGCGGCACTCGGTCGCTGGCAGATCTTCTGCGCGAAGTTCGGCTTCCTCCTCCCAGAGAAATCCGCTTCTTTGCCGCTATGGTGGCCCAGGAGTTGATCGCAGCTTTCACTTTTCCTTTGCCAGGTCGTCTGCTGTGGCAATACCTTGCTCTCCTGAGAGTTATGATCTCTGGGCATCATTTTGTGGAGTGCGCCACAGCACCCAGGGCGGAGTGGTACCGAGCCACTCTGCCAGCTTCTTGTATTTGCAAAGCTCAATCTACAGCAGCGCCAGGTTATCGAATTCCAAGCCACGGGTTCGGGCTCTGGCATGTTCTGTTCGAGTGCCGTGTCAAATCATGCAATGTTATGATTGACACTCTCGGCCCTGTCGAGGAGTACATGTTCCGAGACTTGTCAAAAGAAAGCACCTGCGCAACCGATCCTCGTATTGTCCTCACGTCTGATATTCCAGGCACTATTTCGTTCTTCTGGCAACACGCACCGGGGCCAAGGACTCAGCAAATGCACGGCAGGCAAAGCAGAGGCCAGGGAAAGCAGCAATGCCAGGACTCGGGTCACGACAGTTGGGTGTGCACCTGAGACTTCCGCACCTGAGCACGATGAAGCAGTCTTGAGTCCAATAGGTTCACGACCTGGGCGTCTTTGTGTCAGCTGGCTGCAGCCTGAGTCGCGAATCATGCTTCTTACCAAGCGGTAGCCGCAACACTGGGTTACCTGCTGAGGTGAAGAGAACTGAGGCCGCGTACTGTTTGGCAATGATGTGCCACTCAACCACTCTGCATCTGACCGCTGCTGAAACTGGATCTGCTTTGCTCCAGCTTCCAGCGCAGCACCGCGTAGCGAGTTGGCCAACAGGGCCCGGTGTTTTCTCGAGTCACGAGTGCTAAAGCCGGCTGTCTCAGTGGTACAGCTGCAGCAAAGACCGTTTCGTAGAGCTCCAAAGGCTTTGAAGACAAGGCGTGGTGCGATTTGCTTAGTTCGCTCGTGCGCATTGCATATCTGAGAGATCAGCCACGCACCCTTGCTCCTCTGCTGCATCTTTGTGTCCTACCGTCTGGCTCCTTGCGGATCTGGTATCGAAGAAAGAGTACAGTATTTCCATGTTCCAGAATCCCAGTACCCCGATTTTCGTAGAAACCAGGCGTTTTGTAATCTACGAGCACAGGCAAGAAGACACTCGTTGTGCTGTTTGCCTTCACCCAAGTCAACTCCTACACTCAGCCAGCTCAGAGAAGGCAGATGCCCGACCGTTCTACTCGTAGCTTTAAAGCACAATCTAGACAACCTGCACGAAGCCCTAGCATTGGCCGAGCAGGCGGGCCAATGTGTTGCTTTGGATCCTGGGATGCTGTGACCCAAACAGCCTTTGAAGTCCCACTGATCTCGTTTCGTTACTCAGCAGGTGTGCTACCAACGCCCAAACAGTTCCGTGCAGAACGAAGAGGTTCAGTCTGATCTAGTGACCTTTGTCATAGTTGCGGAACACTTTACATTTTAATGGGTACTCGAACCCAATAAGGAATAGCAACTTGAATCTTTAATACTCTCCCAATCATGAACAAGTGACACTCATCCTGTAGAAGCACCTTTCGCAGCCGACGAGCGGCAGGTCCTGCATGCCAAATGAAGAAGCTCTTCACTCTCGGTCCGCACTGGCATGGCCGCAGCCAGCACGGAGTCGTAGGATGCTAGGATATGTTGGCTAGAACATGACATGCAAAGCGACGATCCCACACACATGTTTGCTGCATGCAGCTTACTTCCTCGATCCGCGACATCTCTTGCAGAAACAAGCGTTTCATTCTGAGGCCAAGGCAGCGTCATTTTCGCCTGGCAGCCGCCAGGGACTGAGTTCAAAGTGACAGTTATTTGGATTTGGTTTCTTCCTAGCTACTCAGCCTGCCAACCGTTGGCATCCATGCAGGGTCTAGTGAAGCGGCACGGCCAGCATCCGTGACTCGTCATGTGACTTCGAAAACGAGCAGCATTTGCTTCTTGTAAGGAGGCTGGCTTGGGTTTACGCCGCAGGTGTGTGCAAAGCAGAAGTTCATAGGTCCGCATTTATGGAGCAATGGATTCAGATTGAGTTTCCATCGATTTGGCCAGCAGTCGAAATCGTGCACTGCCCGGTTCGCGGACGTGAGGTTGCCCTGCATGTCTGAAGTGCATCGCACGTGCTCCGGCTGCCCAGAAACGGCAACTTCGTGGCGTCCATTGGCGAGGGCCAGAGGCCATGCAGCTTTCTTATTCGTCCGAAAGCAGCGACAAGAACCAAGCGACCGCAAGGTTTCTCGGTGGTGTTGTTGAATTTCTGAGAGGATGAAGTCTTCGGTAGACTCTGGCAGAAGCGGATGGAACCTGCGAAGGAAGCACGACAGATTCCTTTTCATGGCCCTATTCCAAAAGTAGCCTCGAGCCCAGAAGCACCCTGAAGCGAAGGCAGAACCATCGACTCCTGACGTTTCAACTTGTGCTGATGTGTTGAGGTCTCGCAGATGATCAAAGACGTTTGCTTTTTGGAGCCACACTGCTTTGTAACATTGGAGACAAATCTCTTAGAGCACAACTGGTCCACGCGCACCTCGAAAGACAATGAAGCTTTGCAGGTTCATTGATATCAGAACCGTGGAGTTTCGGTGCTCTGTTGGGGCAGGAACATCCATCTCTTCGACAGACAGGGTGCCCAGACCTCGGCTTGAAGCTTCCGACTTTGCTGCGTCAGTGACAGTGACACTTCCGAGGCTCAAGTGCAGGAAGTAACCCTGAAGTCGACAGCAAAGGCCTGGCGGTGGCGCTCTTGCCCGCGGGTTGTGTGGGAGTGTGGGAGTTGCAGCCGTGACTTCGGTTCTTGTGTGCTGCAGCCGTCCGAAGCCAGCCACTGCCAACCCGGCCAGAATTGCTGCGCAGAATGTAGCCTTAGTACAGAGTCTTCCTCCTTTCAATTCGTAGAATGCATGAGGACGGAGAAGGCGCCCCATCCGTCGCTGGTTGGGTACACCAGCGCCATTTCAAGGCAGCAGTGGCAGAAAGCCTTGGAGCTCCTAAGCGAACTTCGAGGCTTCGCCTTAGAGGCGAATGTCATCACCTTCACCGCTGTGATCGGCACCTGCGCACGAGCTGGGCAGTGGCAGCAGGCGGCGGGGATGTTCAGGATTCTTCAAGCGGAGTCCTTGCAGCCGACCCTGGTGACATACAACTCGGGCATCAGTGCATGCGACAGGGCCGTGCAGTGGAGGTCGGCGATCGACTACCTCTCTGCTGCAAAGATGACGAAGCCGGACAAGGTCACCTACAGCTCAGCCATGAGCTCATGTGGAAGGTGCCAAAGGTGGAGAGAAGGCTTCGCGTTGTTCCGCGAGGCGCGAGTCCATGTAGAGATGGATGTGGTTGTGTACGGCTCGGCCATGGCAGTGATTGCCAGCATAGCAGAGTGGAGGCGCTCCCTTGTCCTTCTGCGACAGATGCCAGAGCGGAGTGTGACGCTCAGCCCCACATTGGGAGTTGCTTGTTTTTCTCACACACTTTCGGGTCTTTTTGGGGCTCGCCCTCCACTCTCCACCACGAACTCTCTAGTTTTAGCATCATCTTTTCTGGGCAACAACTTGCCTCGCAGGGAAGCCAACCTCATCGCAGTCAATGCTGCGGCAAGTGCTTGTGAAAAGGCAGCCGAATGGCTTTGGGCTCTGCGCGGGAACCTTGTCACTGTTCATTCGTGTTTACATCTAATGCCCCCTCTCAGCCATTGATTTTCAACCTCAATCCAGCAGTAGTGCCACTTTGGCACTTGCCAGAGAATTTGAGAAATTGGGGTGTGTAAGGGCGCGTCATAGTTAAGCCTTGAAGCTTTTGCCACAGGATGGATGGCCTTCGCGAGGCAGGCCTGAGACCCGATTTGATCACCTGCAATGCCTTTCTGGCAGCCTGTGGGAACGCCTCTCTGTGGGAGCGGTCCATCGCACTGCTGAGAGGGACGAGGACAACGGGGCACTTAATCACAGGCTTGTGAATAGCTTAATTTGTTCCTGTTGGCTGCTTTTTGTTGCTGTTTGACTACTCATGTTGGATTTGACTTCGGCTATTTGACGGCATTGCCAGATGCAAGAGAAAAGACAAACAAGTGGTGGCACTGTCGCTAAAGTGGGAGGAACCATACTTCAACCAGTTACGGGTAATCGCGCAGGACAGACATCATCTCCCACAACTGCGCCATCAAAGCATGTGACACTCGGGAGCAGTGGCAGCGTGCCCTAGTGCTGCTGGCTGAGCTGCCGAACGCCCTGGAGGGGCGAAAGCTCTCGGATGCAGTCACAGACAGTGTGGCCATCAGTGCCTCTCAAAAGCAGACCAGATGGCAAAGCGGGCTTCTCATTTGGGACATCGAGCATGGACGGCAAGCAGCAATAACGACCAGCAACAGTGCACTGGTCGGCTGTGCAGATGCAGCCAGATGGCAGGAGGCTGTCTGCTTCACATGTGGCCTGGACTCCAAGAGACCACAGCCTGATGTCGTCAGCTACAACACCAGCCTCAGCGCATGCGCCAAGTCATTCTACTGGCAGTATCCCCTATTGCTTGTATCGATTCTTGTGACGCTGAGGCCGCGGCCGACAACGATATCTTACAACTCAGCCATCAGTGCTTGTGAGGGACTAGGAGAGTGGATGCAGGCGGTTCACTTGCTTACAACCGCGGAGGGCTATAGATTGCAGCCGAGTGTCATCACGTTCGGCACCGCAATCAGTGCTTGCGCGGCAGGAAAGAAGTGGCAGGAGGCAGTCGTACTGCTCGCAAAGTGTGCTGAGCAAATGCCACCGGATGTCGTGGCATACAATGCTTGTTTGAACGCTTGCGAGAAGGCTGGCCAGTGGTCGGCGGCTCTTGCTTTGTTATCCGAGCTCTGTAACCATCGCGACATCGCTGGTTCCGTGCCAGACGTCGTCTCCTACAACTCCACGATCAGCGTTTGTGCCCTGGCCGCCAAGTGGGAACTGGCCCTGTCCCTGCTTTGTCGCATGGGGGTGCAAAGACTACAGCCCAACATGATCACCTATAACTCAGCCTTTGCAGCAATGGCTGCAGCTTCGGCAGTTTCCGAGATGTCTGCTGGGCCCAGATCCGGCTCTCGCGGCAAGTGGCAACATGTCCTTGAGCTCTTGCGTGACATTGGCATCAGACGCCTGCATGCTAATGTACTCACTTACAATTCGGCAATCTCTGTTCTTGAGGCATGTGATCAGCACATGATCACAGCTAGTCTTTTGGGTCAAGTGAGGAGTGCCATGGCGGGAGAAAGTGACCTGAAGTGCGACTTTGCTTGTCAATATGTGTTGAGCCCCGTTTGTGGGTACCGTCACGCAGCCGGGCCTGGAATTCCGAGCTTTTCAAGATCAGGTTAGTAGTCAAGGCCAATGGCGACTGATTGAGCACTTTGCTCAGATTGCAGGTGGTGCAGCTTGAGTGGGACAAGGCCAGCCGAGTTGTGCATTCAGATTGGCCAACGAACGCAGGGCGCCGAATATTGTACGAGTGGATCCCGATTGGAAAATTCCTGCGCACGACCATCGCTGCTTAAGCCACACCCAGCCACACATGCACGTTACAGACAATCAATACAAATTTCCGAGAACTAAAGATTCAGCTGTTCTGCCCCTTGGGACAGCACTACCGGCGCAGCCGACGCTCCGACATATCCGGAGGATGGTGAAATTCTGGCCATCCTCCAACAGAAAGAAGAGACAGCGCGGAGCTCAAGCAACCTCGGGCAGAGTGGGCTTTAGCAGTTGCAGGAAGGGGGGCAAAGGGGGGTTTTCAAGAATGCGAGGGGCTGAGCAGAGCAGGTGATGTTGTGGCGCCACTCTGAAAACAAGCTGGACATGGTCGAGATGAACTCGAAGGACGGCAAGTTGCACCTCACACTACTCTTCTTCCCAGCTTCTGTTGCCTCTTGCTGCTTTGATGGAGGATCCGACCTGGCTATCATGGTCCAAAACCGGACCGCAGCTAGTCATCGGAACCGCACGAGGGAACCTCATCATCTACAACAAGAGGACACGGGACTAAGGGTTCCCTCGTCGACAGAGCTTCGTCTGAGACGTCCGCTCCAGGACCATGAAGAAGCAGACGATCATGGGAAAGCATTCCAAGCGAATTAGTTGTGGAGCCCGGGCCTTGGATGCATGTTCTCGAAGAAGATGCTGAAAAAATACGCATCTGCACGCTGGCCAGGGCTGGCACTCCGACAACATCTTCGCGACCGGCTCGGAGGAGCATCGCTGTTGGCTGCGCTTCTCTGCGTCGAGGAAATTAGGGGTGGCTGCGTTTCAGCAAGGACAAAACAATCTGCCTGAGCAACGAAGAGGGGCATGGGGCTCGGCCGACTGACTCTTCTTTCGACCACATCTTGCTGAGTTGCAACTCTGTCATGACTTAGCGCGGAGTGCTTTGGCACGGATCCTTGCTTCAGGGATCCCCTAGAAAGCGGCGGCGATTCAGAGCCGTTGCGGATCAAAAACGCAGCTCCCGACCTGTTTTGGATGACAGCGGTGACTGCACATCACTTCCTGATCGAAGTGGAATGTAGCTGAGATGACTGACATGCCAGGATCCCAGCATGCTGCAAATAGCAGACGTGAAGTCTGACGACCCCAAAGGCCCTGGTCAGTTGTCCTGCGATGCAGATTCCAATGTAGCACAGGGGCGTAGCTAATCTCCTGGCTGCCATAGCTGGTGCATGACACAGATTCCGAACGTGAACGAGTTGTCAGCATCGTCTTGGGGGAGGCCGGCCACGAGAAAAACTCAGGATGCAGGGCTCGACGGGACTGACGTGGCGGTGCCATGTGCTGCTGGCAGGTGACTTTGTTGCTATGCAACTTAAAAGATCCGCAGAAGCCAACAGAGCTGGCTTTCCAACCCAAGTGCGCCTAATCTAGTGCTCGTGGAGCACCCGTAATAGCACAGTGAGCCGAGGTACGGCACAATCAAGGCCTACAGTTGGATTGGAGATGGCTATCTCGTGGTGGGGTTCCAAGAATGTTTGTTGCTGTGGTGTGCTGAGTCGCCTCGTGTATGGCTGAGGTTGGCTTCTCGCAAGGATACATAGCCCCACGCCTAGAGTTGAAGTGAAGGTTTATAGAAGACCAGAGTGCTTATGTATGAGCCTCTTCCGCATGGAGCGCTGCTCTGGTTCCGTTGTGAACTGCTAACCCCTGAAGAGAGGTCCTGTCAGAAAGCAGCAAGCCATGACACCAAACTCAGGTAGTCATTAGCTCGCGCCTGCGGGAAATCTCGGAGGCCGCCCAACATTCGCTCTTGCTGGCTGCTTGGCATCAGGTGGCGCTGCAAGACTGCCCTTACTTAAAGAGGTTAAAGAGCTAGCTTGTACAGTCCCTCAAAGATTCAACACAGCATGACGCATGGTGCTGAGATGGGACGTACTGCCGGCTTGGCCAGGAGCTCTCGTCCGTGAAATATCACCGGAACACTCTCGACTGCCTTTGTTGCAGCAAGGCCTCGGGTTGTCTTTCGGTCCTCTCCAAACCATGTTGGAAGAGTATCCAACCTCAGTAGGCTGCTTGCAAAACATGCTTGTTCGTCTTCAGGGTTTCCCGATACAAGTAGCCTGATGTGGCCAGCACCTCACCGAATCGCACAAGGCTGCCGGCAAGATTGCCTCCGCAGGGGATGATGGCATCAAGCTCATCAGCATGAAGGACAGACTCCAGAGTTTGCCAAGAGGCTAGAACGACTAAGAAAACATTCTGGCACACTGCGCAGGACTGGACCGAGATTCGAGGGGAAAAGATACAAATCCGCCCTGAGGCGAAGGTGCCGAGTGATTTCCGGCAGAGCTCGCAACTTCCCACATGGTCCTCTCTTTTGCTTCCCATGTCCATCATTCGCTCTTTCTGATTTTGTTGGCAACATCGAGGAGACGTGTTAGTGATGTGCGCCAAGTGTAGGTGACACAAATGCACTGGTCGGATGACGGAGAGCACCGCCCCAAGTGAGCTTTCATATCCGTTGGCAAGGTGAGTTGGCCTCTACCGGTGACTGAGCATGCCCACGCTGATTGCAGACGCTTTGACATCAGAGCTCCGCGTTGAGGCTGCTGTCGTTCTGTACAGAGACTGGCTGGGTGCCAGCCTGAGGGTGTTGCTAGATCGTGCCACCTCTTAATCAGTTCACCAGCTCTGTACTCTGTAATTACTCTATATTGCGACTCTTTACCCTTTCAGCATTCTCCATTTGCAAGTGTAGAAGGGTTGGATTGGTCAGAATATGGACCGGTAACGAGGCTTTGAATAAAGGCAGATTTGGGCGGGGAGCACGCATATTAGAGGAGACTGCGCTGATGATGCAGACAAGAAAGGTAAAGTGGCAGGTGTCAGCTGCATGACACAGCATTCCAAGGTTTACTGCTTCTTAGCCAAGTTGTCGGCGCTCTCGGCCACCTGTAATACGCGGCGCCTCGGTCGAGCAAACGGAAAGAGATGAGCAGATGCCCTTCGGTCCTTTCGGTCGCAGTTGCGGTGCTGTAGGGGTGCGGTCGACTAAGGCTGGCATATTTGACTTCGTTGAGAGAGATGACAATCATTGAGGGAACGGCTGACACGGAGAACAAGGCCTGAGATCGGGGCTTCAGACTCCGCTGCCGCGCTGTTGCTTTCAAACATGGCAGCCGTAGCGGCAGAAAGTCGTCTGAGATATGCTCACTGCCTACTCGGACTTGGACCTGTGGCTGAGTGCGCAGCGGCAAAGGTGGTCCTCCAAACTGACGTGGAGCCTGCTTTTGTGGCCCTGGGTCCTTCTCACTTAGCGTGCGGAACTTGGTTTTGGAAGAAGGCACACGTTTTGACAACAAGCATGCGATTCGGCTGAATGTGGTCTCGAGGACAGGAATGAACAACCGAATCTGGTTCTATTCCTGCACGGATCAAGCAGCAGTCGAGAAGGTCAACGAGCAGGACTTCACTGACGCAGAGAGCTGATTACTTAAGTAGTAAGTCTCTCGCAGATGGCGAGATGTCAGGACATCTTTTTCTATCCACTGCTGATGGACCCTGATGCACAGGAGTACATCGGCAGCGTGGAGAGCGTGAGCTTGAACGCAACCCACGCTTGCGTCTTGATCGACGGCCGTGTGTGCCCTGTCGTTGGTTCTTGCTTTTGTCGATTATCTTCTGCCTGTGTCTAACATGTCCTTCTTTTCCCCGTTCTTGGTGGCGGTGGTGGTGGTGGTGGTGGTGGTGTGATTATCTAGGGGCGTGCTTGAAGATGTTGCTATTCTTTATGTTAGATGCTTCCCAGATCGCGGATATCGTCATCATCGAATGCGCGTGACTACGTTGCCTAACTCCTTGCTTAGTCCATCGTCACAGTCTCTGGATAAGTCTGAGCTGGAAAATCGTCATGAGCACTCCACCAGCGTGCTGAACGTCGGCTCATAGAGTCCTGATGGCCATACGCCTGATCACACGGCCTCGAAGAGGCCGACTGGACCTGCACTGACCTGCATCGAAAACCTTTGCTCTTGCTCTTGGCATCATTGCCCTGATTGTGGAGTTTCGAAGGCGGCTTGCCAGCCCGCCTGACGGAAGGCTGGTGTCGTGCCACTTGTGCGAGGGAAGTCATTAGCACGCAGACACAGGCTGGAAGACTTGGAAGCCGCAGTGCAGTCCCATCCGCACTCCATTGAGGATGCTGGGTCGTGCTCTCAGGCCCAGAACGCAACGCCGCAACGCAGAGTGAAATCCCAGCCCGACCCTGAGTCCCTGAGGCTCCGAGCCTGAGCCTGGGCCGGCGAAGCGTCGCCGTCAGGAGCAGAAACTCTGGAAATGTCCGCCGCACGACTGCGGGCTGCGCGCCAGGAGAAACTCCAGGTCGGCCTTGTGGGCCTCGGTTCCATCGGCACGATCGTCGCCGAGGCGACGAGGGCTCGCAGTCGCGACAGTGGCTTCACCAACTGTTCGGCAGGCCCTGACTGGCCCGCGACAGCATCACGCCCGCAAATCATCTCTGGCTGTCCTTTGTGAGGCATTGAGATCCTGACTTTCAGGTCGCTGCCCGGAGCGGCCTTGGCAGCTGTGCTCACTCAGAGGCGTGGCATGGCCCGTGGCAGCCACCAGCAGAAGAATCTCAGCTCGGCTGTCCCCGACAGGCTGCGTGATGTTCGTCCACCAGAAGTGGGGTCTCAGGCCACTCTGGTCAGAAGAAGGTGTCGCTCATGACGTATTGCGACATTGCAAGGCGCTGCTGACGACAGACGTGGAGGCCGTCTACAAGCAAACATGTATCTGGACCTCAGCTTGGTAGATCTCCCCTGAGACTTGAGAAGTCCTCCGCTCAAGCCTGCCGTGCCCGTTTCGCCCAGATCTTGTGAAAGCCGCAAACCCGAGGCATTCCTCGGCTCTGACTGGCTCCTTGACGGCAATTTGCGTCCTTCCCTCCCCTCCCAATGCCAACCAATCGCTTTCAACAGTGCTAATTACCCGTTGTGCATACGCGACCGCGTGAAGGTCTCTGTGTGTGGAAGCGGCCGGCCAGCCTTGGGCTAGGTTCCAAGAGCGGCTGAAGACGAGTACCGAAGATCAGCAATGCATCATGATTCAATGATGACTGTAAGCAATACTGTAGCACTGTAGCACATGGATACAAAGGGAAGGTTAGGATACTGGAGAACTGAATGCAGGTTGGGCCAGGCTTTCAGGATGCTAGCGTTGATACACTCGGGCAGCCCTTGAGGCCGGGTTGTCATTGTCAGTGTCGGCGAAGCAGGAGCCTAACAGGTGTTCGTAGGCTGGTGTCCTGCGGTCCCAGCCCGGTGCCTGAGCAAAAGCCCGGCATTTTGGATAGTTTCCCTGGCTGCTGCGTGTACTCCTTCAGAGGTGCGAGAGAACGGCAGACGAGTCCTGGCCGAGGCAGCATTTCACTCGCCGCCAGTGCAATGACAAAACGTTGATCGAAAGTCTCATGCATCCATGCGACAGCTGTGCAGTTGAAGGGCCGGGACCTCTTGGTGACCTCTGTGGGCGTCTTCACAGAGGATGCGCTGCTGGAGGACGCTGTGGCGTCGCTAGCCGATCTTTGCCGGCGCTTGTAATTCTTGGCTGCTCGACACAGGCGGAAAGTACGTAAGCTTTGCTGGATGTTATCTGCCAATCTCTTGTTTAAGTTGTATTCCCTGCTTTATGATGTCCGAACACTAAGGCAAGACAAACCTGCATGAGTGCAGCTTGACCAAGACTCAGCCAGGACTTCACCTCCGTGGCTGCAAAGTCTGGATCGCGGCTGTTGCTCCCCGCTGGCGCAATGCCAGGCAGCAGAAACGGTCGGTGCACTGGGCTGGGTCAGTCTCAGAGGCAGCAACAGCTTTCCAGCCAGATCGACAATTTCACGATTGCACCCACACACACACACACTGAATGCTAAGAGAGGTTTCTGTATGCGGAGGACCACCTGATGCCCAGGTCTTGGGCGACCATGCACCAGCAACTTTGAACACGTATCTTCATGCGCAGTAAGGTCGAAGCTGAACGGCTCAAAGTGTGGCACCTAGACCTGCAACCTGACTAAACCACAAAGGGCCGAAACCTCTATCCCCGCGCAAGCAAGCACTGCAAGTACTGTATGCCAGGATGTCACGCAAGTACTGACGGAGTTCAGAATGGGGTTCTTGGCTTGGCCCCAGGCCATCCAGAAGATTTCATCACGAATAAAGTATAACCAATGCACAGCGATGATGCTAGATACCAAATACGTTCATTGTGCAGGTGGTTTCTCGACGGGTCGTATTGTGTTAGTCGGAGGGCTCGCAACGGCAAGTCGTAACTATACCGCAGCCGTTCGACTTAGGCGCATCCGTTCCGCATTCCGACGGTGTGCTAGCCTTTTCTTTTAGACTGTCACGGCTTGATGCCTTCATCTTCGGACTCGTCCCGCTCCTGTCCTTCCCGCCGTCGGCGGCGAAGGGCCCGGCGGTCCTCGAGTACATCATCCTCGTCTTCGAGGTTGGCCTTCGGCCTATCATTTCAGCCTCTTGACTCTTTCTGTCAGGCGGCCCCGGTCCCGCCTCTCCGCCAGGAGGCCGACCTTGCCTTTATACACTTTCCGCCTTGGCCCATAGCTGGCTGAGGTCCTTTGGTGCTCAGCTCCGTTCCATCATGCATGGTCCCCAGCTGTAAGCACTCTTGTCTTTTGCTTCACGTCGGCTCTTCCCAGGCCTGACCCGGCTCCTGGTCCGCCGGTCTCGCCCCCGAAGGCCTGCTTGCAAGCTTTGTCCGGTCATGCTCTCGCCCTGGCTGCTTGACTAGCCTTGTTCTGCTCGAGCGACCCTTGTCTCCCTCCGCAGCCGCTTTCAGCTTTCATCGCTCTTTGCCTTTTCTGCCTTTCGCTCTCGGTGATCATGGCCCGCTTTGGTGGACACGCTCTCCGCGATCTGGCCCGTGGTGTGGTGGGAGCTGCCGTGGGCATCCGGTCCGACGTCGACCCGACTCCGGCCGATGTCGAGGCCCCTCCGGCTCCGGACGCTCAGGCTGTCCCGACGGAGGCTCCGGCCCAGGACACGACCGTGGCTCCGGACCCGGGCCCCCCCGTGGATCCACCTGCCACCCCGTCCCAGCCCCCGGCCAAACGTGGTGCCGACTTCCTCGCGCCCCAGAAGCAGCCTCCCAGCCACCCCCCTACGACTGGTGGTCTGCCCGCTGCTTCCGCCGGACCCCCGAAGAAGAAAGCCAGCTTTCCTCCGGCCCGGCCTGCCACCCCCTCTTTCCCCCCTGCCAAGCCCGCTGCCGCTCCATCCGAAGCGGCTCCCAAAGCCCCCGCGGCAACTGCCAAGGCCGCCCCGCCGCCCCTCGAGACGGACCTGTCATTTTTATGCACTCTGGACGATGATGCCATTTACCGGTCCCTTGCCGACTTGCCACCGTCCCAGGTGACTCGACTTCTTCTTTTGATAGCCGAAGTCGCCCAGGACGTCACCTATGCCATGGGCAACCTGGGCCAGCTCGACGTTGAGGTTCCGGTCGCGCACATGTCCCAGACCGGCCCGCCTCCGAACCGAGGCCGCTATCCGCAGACGACGCGTGGTGACCTTGCACCTTTGCCGTCCGGTCCGCGCTTTCCGGACCAACAGGCAGCCGACGCCATCCATGCCGGTCTGGACCAGGCCGATGGCACCAGGCCTGATCCCAACCCGGCCCCGCCAAATCCCACCGATGGCGCTGGTGCTGAATCCGGTGGCCTGCGAGTCCTGCCCGGATTCGCCCGCCCCCGCCAGGCCTCTTGACGGACACGTCGGGCATTGACCCGAACGAGCCCTCTGGTCCACTCGGATCCCAACCGCCCCGGCTGCACTCCGGTCTTTGTGGACCGTGGCCAACTTACCCCGCGCCGTGCCAATACCGGCCCCTGGACCATCAGCGAAGGCTGGGAGCGCTTGAGCATTTTCCTGCCTGAGACCCCCGGCCCTTTCATCCGCACGGACTCCTGGCCCTGGCCCGACCTCTTTTGCTTTGAGGAGCAGGACTTGCCAAGCTGGGCTCCGCTCCAGGACCCTCCGTCCGTCCTGTCTCACCTGCAAATTCGCGGATACTGTTCGCACGATTGTCCGGCCCGGGGCCCGCACTGTCTCCGCATTTGCCTCCGGCCCGTGATGTTGCATTCCCGGACCGATCACACCGGGCACAAATGCCCGTATTGTATCCAAGACGGGTACTAGGCACCTGGTACGGCCCGCCCCGCACGCCCCGTGCCTTTATTGCCCATAATCCAACTAGTCTCCTAAGATCATCGTGTGTGGGGTGGCCCGCTAGGCCCGGCGCTGTCTACTTTTCTGCTTCTCGCGGCCGGCCCTGATCCGGTCCCGCTGCGGCGTTGCCTAAAAAGTCATGGTTCCCCGCCTTGCTGCACCTGCCTGGCTCTTTCAGAGACATGTCGCTTTTGTTTTTTCCTGCCGCCAGGCCAACATCGAGCTGGAGACCATCGAGGATGCGCCGGTCTCTTTCTTGCGCGTGGTTGCGCTTTGTGCTGTATGCCCTGCCCGGCCAGGTACCCGTGCATCCGCCGGTGGCCCCTGCGGGCAACCCGGCCTTGGCATCTGACCTTGGTTCCTTGCTTCATGGCTTTCCCTTGCAGCCCACCGCTGCCGCCCCACTGGTCACACCGCCCCGCCCGCAGCGGTTGGATTTTTTGGGCGACGCCTCCCCGCGTCCTTGCGATTCTCCGGCCTCGGCCCCTGGGCCCTCGGCACCGCCTCATTCCAGCCCCTCGTCGGCATCCTCCACATCCTTTCAGGTCGTGCCGGTCCCTACTGATCACCCTGTCGGTCCTCCCTTGCCTGGACTTGCATCATTGCTTGTGCCTCGCCTTGGGCTGGCCTTGCCCTGTCTGTCCCATGCTTCTTTATCGGATCTGGCTGCTCGCCCCCGGCCCGCTCGGCCTCGGCCTGCCCCCTTCCCTTTGTTCCGTCCTCTTCGCTGCCCGGCTCTGCGCCCTGCACGTTCGGCTCCCACGTTTCCGTTGGGCCCACCACTTTTATCCTGCCCACGGGTACCCCGCCTGCCCCGCGACCCATTCCCGGCTCCCTTTGTGCATTCTGGCTTTTTGCCACTGGCCACTGACGCCTCCGATTCCTCCTCTATGGAATCCACAACTGCTCGCGCTTTGGCACATTTTCGCAACATGTTTTGCGATTTTGTTCAGGAGCTTGGTGACCGCTGCACCCTGTTTTTGCATACCAAGTTGGTACCCGTGCCTCGGGAACTCCAAGCACGTGCCATCGCGAAAAATGCCCCCAGCACTTTGCAGCTTTACTTGCGTTCCTGGTCTGCCTGGGTCCGGCACTGCATCCTTTCTGGAATTGATCCTGCCGACCCGCCGCCCGGTGCACTCCCGTCCTGGCTTCAGTTGACTTCCGCCCCTTCTGGCCTTTCCACCACCAGTTTTAAGGCTTTGAGTTGGATGGCCAAGGTGGCGGGCTTGCCATCTATCCAGGTACAGTTGCACACTCCGCTTTGCTCCGCGTTTCTTTCCTCGACCGGCCCGGTGGAAAAACGTGAAGCCTTGCCTTTTTCCGTGTCCTTTGTCGTCTGGCTCGAACGGTCCGTCATGGATCCCACTACTCTGCTTGCCGAGGTCCTGCTTCGTGGGTCGGTCTTGTGCCTGATTTGGTCGTCTCTTCGTTGGAACGACGGCCTTTGGTCTCCCCCGTCCCGGGTGATACTGCAATCTGGCTCCACTGCCCTTACCGGTGTCGCCACCCGCACAAAAAGCTGCCGGGCCAACATGCCGTGGGGATGCCAGCTCTACGGGTTGACGGGCTCACCTTCCGCTTGTTGGGGCATGTCCTGGCTTAACGCTCTTCAGCAGTGTGTGTCCGACACCAAACGCATTTTCCCGGACCGCACGGTGGATTTTTTGCTGCCGGTCCTCGGGCCTGACCCTACCTCTCCGGTGTTCGTCTCTCCTTTGCATCGGTCCCGCGCCATGCCTTGGCTCCGGGCCCTCCTGCAAGAACACTGGCACCTGCACTCCTCCGAAGCCTGCCCGCCTGAGCACTCCATGTATGGGGTTCACAGCTGCAAGGCCACCGTCCTATCCTGGGCCAGGCAGCTTAATCTTGACCCTGAGCTTCGCCGTCTCCAAGGTATGGCGCCGCGGGAACGCTCCGGCCGCTCGCGCTCCCCCCGGCGCCGTCCGGAACCGGCTGAAGAGGAAGTCGAAAGCACTGACCTCTCCGATGACAGCTCCGACTCCGAACAATCCGGGGCCTCGGGTTCGGACGATGACTTTGCCAAGCCTCGGCCCCCTCGCCCCCAACAGCGAGAGCCCAGCATGAATGGGTTCCTGCACAACCCTCGCAGCAACGTCTTGCACCGTCCCGTTCCGTGCCCGCCCGACACTGCAAAGTCCGTGCGCGTGTCTCTGTTGGGCCTGGAACCATTCTGGGTGAAACCGGCCTGTGGGGCCTCTGTTGGTCAGCTCTGCTCTGAGGCATGGTGTTCCGCCCCGCCTGCGGGTGCCCAGCTCTGCCTCCGCCGCGCCTGCCAGACTTGATGCCCCGCCCCGCTGTAAAGATGTTGCATCTGCATGTGCCAGCTCGTGCCAGCTCCATGCGCATGTGGTCACACTTGCTTGCACTGTCTTTTCCGCAGCCGTTTTCTGTTTCAGCCGGCCTTGCCCCCCCCTTTAGTGCCGCCCTCTTCCGCCATGGCTTCGGATGGTTATCCGTCGGCTGGGCCTGGGGACCGTCCGGTTCGAGCGGCCTGGGACCGTGATGGCGCGGTTCTCCTGCCGTCTGCTCCGGAACTGCAAGACCTG